TCTATCTATCTATCTATCTATCTATCTATCTATCTATCTATCTATCTATCTATCTATCTATCTATCTATCTATCTATCTATCTATCTATCTGTCTATCTATCTGTCTATCTGTCTGTCTGTCTGTCTGTCTGTCTGTTTACATATTACATTACTCGTTAATTAATAATTACATATTATTGGTTAAAATGTGCCCATATACAATAAAAACTATTTTTATTGTATCCTGATTAATTTGAGTCATATTAATGCAGAGTCAGAAAATAAATAAGAATTATTAGGTATTGTTAAGGGTAAAAAATAAGGGAAGAGACAGAGCACTGTATGGTACATACCGGTACCATAAGAGGTAGAGATGGCAGATGGGTAGCCGCCCATGCCTTGTCCAGGTAGCGTGGGAGTTGCTACTGAAACCACGGGAGTGGCCAGCGACTGAGCAGACTGGGAGTTGTTTATTCTCTGGTTCTTTGATAGGAAGGAAAGACAAACAAGACACAAGGACGCATGAGGCCATGGATTCAACTTCTGGCTAAAATCTATAACAAAAAAGTCAATTTCATCTTGTCTCCTTTCTTTCTCTCAGCCAGCAGATACTGAGAATCGGTTGTGGTGCCAACTTCAGGGGAAATTAATCACTTGACAAGAGGCTTGGTTGAACTCTGCCAACCCCATCATTTAGAACCCTTTTTATTTTACAAGGGCTTGTTGTCGCTATAGTAACAACACAAGTTTCCATAGCAACGCATGGTAGGGAAAGCCTCATGAAGGGAGGAGGAGAAAACAATGGATGTTTGATGTAAAAAGAAAGTGTAAGCTGTTTTTCTCCTCCTTTTGTTTGCCTATTTAGAGGACTAAAATCTCTGTGCATGTTGATTTTAAAACTACACCATAGTTTAAAAAATATCTAAGAAAAAAGGGAGGATATACTGACTTGGTTGTGTCAGAAAAGAGGACAGGTTGCCTTTACTCAGACACACCACTGAGTGGCACTATGCACTCTCACAAAATATCATAAGCAGAGTCATAGCGAAAAAAGTTACCCATTAGATGTCACACTTCTATAAAAAAAAAAACAAAAAAACACACACTTCACAATAAAAGGAACAGCTGTCGCTTTCTATTCATCTAAGGCTTAATGTGTTCACTAAAACTACAGAGGTGGTTTATGAGGATACAAAAGTCCCTGAGAACTTTCAAAATTTCTAATTTGAGTGGCAGTCTGACTTACCAACAGCAGGTCAACATCCTCAGACTGATGGCATTGAAAGGGGAGGGTGATACGTTCAAATTAGTGCATATGATTGAGCACATTAAGGGAGCTCTAAGGGGTGTAGCTAATAGACGACCAAACCAATCAAACCAAAACTAATTGAAAAAGAAATTCTGAAAACTACTGAAGAAGTACTGACTAAAACTAAATAACAGATTATAAAGAGATAAGGTAGAAATGCCAGATCACAAAGCGTAAGTGCCAGTGCAGAGACACAAACCAGGTTCTATAGTGGACATCTGACAGAATATCAGCCTTGGGCTAAGGGAAAGTTCTGAGACAATGTTTTGCTTTGAAGGGGATTTCTGCAATTTTTAGGAGGTAAACTCCTTCTTAGACCTTTAAAAAAAGAACTATTATAACAATAAAAATGGAACATATATCAAATTTGAGACATTTCTAAAGGTTAATTTACGAATGGATTTGAGGTGCTTTAAGCCCTAAAGGGGTTTAAGACTTTTTCAGGACTTTTAGGTTGGGCAGAAACCCTGTTTAATTGAACCTCGTCATAAACGCAAATCAATCAACCCAAGTCTGATATAAAAGCAGCGCTGGAGAAAGGGAAAGGAACTAAACAATACCAGACCCAGACACAGGGCATTTCACATACAATGGGGAAAGATGATGAGGAACAAAAAAGATGTCAAATGAAGGATGCAGAGATTACTCACAATGGAGGGCATGTTGTTCTTTGCCCCGGGAGGGATGAGCATGCGTAGGTCAGGCTTGCGGTTGTTCATGCCCAGGTTCATGGGTGGGGGAGACTTTGTCTGCATGTTCTTGTTCATTCCACCTGAGGAAACTAGCAGGCCTGGAGAGTTGCGATGGTTCCCGTAGCCATTTCCTGAAAGAACAAAAGTGTATGTGTAAAATCATTAAATATACTTGTTTTCTTCACTGATATTTAAATCAAACATATTGATATGCTTGATATTAAGCCTGTTTGAAAACTTTTGCAAATTAACCTGTACTGCTACTTTCATAATAATTCATTTCCGCTTTCCTGTGTTAGGAATTATCAGAACCATTTGTGTATATAGGGGTTGATGGATCAGATAGCCCTAGAAACAGATGATTTAATCAGTAACAGTCATTTGGTTCGAAGCTGAATTGAAAAAAAAAAATCTCTTTTACCTCAGTCATTTTTAACGCAGACTGCAGCAATTTAATAGCCTTTTAAAAGTATATAATTATGGGTCACAAGACCAAAGAGGAAATAGGTCAATCAATGAATCAAAATAAAAAAGAAATAAAAACACTTTTCTAAACAAAAACCCTTTTTTTGTGTTGCTTAAACACCAAAGTCTACACACGAACAAATGGTTGAGTAAAATCCTGCCAACATCATTAAAAAATCTGAGTGGAGAACACTGCCTTTGTTTCCAGCTTCGTTCCTCTGGCTGTTTTTGCCCTTACTTCCCTATTCGATCTACCGACTGGGTAGAACACAAGGCGCTGTGTGGACATTCCCACTTGAAAGACAGGGAGGAATTATACGTTAGACATAAATAAATTTCCTAATCATATACTCCGGGGGGAAAAATGAGTCGCAGATGTCTTCCTGGGCAATTTCCCTTGCTGATCTTTGTTTAATTTGAGAGCGAGTTTTTTTGCTGTTGTTGTTTGGAAATGAAAAGTCTCAAAAGCTTAATTTGAACAATTTGAAAAGTAAACGGCTGCTGGCGGTGAGAGAAAATGAGGCCAGCGAGAAAACAAGAAAACAGCATGTCGCTCCTGGTGCGAGCGTCATTGATGAAAAGTGTGATTTATAAGCACATTTAAGCTCTTGTTAACATAGATGTGTGTCATTTTGTGTAGGTTCTATAATACATTTCTCTGTGTCATTCTGCTTGAGTGTGAATCCACATATCACTGCTTTTTTTCCTCTTATAAACAGCAGATGCAGTCTTGCAAAAGTATTCACAAGCTTAACAAGTTAGATTACAACATAAAGTCTTAGCAGGACACAAAGCAATGAAAAAAAGACAACATGAATTTAAAATTTTTTGTCTAGACTACATAAGAGGTGGCTTGCATTAGTATTCAACCCCAGGGAGCCAGTACTTTGTAAGAACCAACCAAGTATATTTGGATATACCTCTACCTGTGCACATGTACACATTTTCCAATTGTTTATGACAGAGTAGCTCAAGCTAAGTCCCACTGGGTGGAGGGGAGCTGCGATTGTCAGTCTTTGAGTCTCGCCACAGATTCTCAATTAGATTTAGGTCTGTACTTTGTAAGGACACATTTAAACACACAAACACCTGCCTGTATGTTTAGCGTTGTTGTCTTTCAGGATTGCCTTGTATAGATCCCACCGTCTCCCACTAACTTTTTATCAGCTCTCCTATCTCGGCTGAAGTAAAGCATTCCCACAACAAGAGGCAGACACCATCTTTTCTCAAAGCAGAGGATGTGCGACGGTAAGGTTTTGCCACACAGCAATTTACATACAGGCCAGAATGCGCACATTTGATCTTGTCTGAAGAAAGCACCTTATTTTTTTGTTTTTTATTAGCTGCTTTAGACACACCACCCATTGGAAACTACAAACAAGACTTCTTATAGCATTTTTCTTTCCAGTCTTCCATAAGGAACATCTTGTTGTCGCTTTTCCAGAATTACCATAGGTCTATTTCCTTCTTTTCTTTATCTGACTTGTTGAGGTGAGGGCCATGTCTTATTAGGACTGTAGTTGTGCTATACTCTTTCCATTTTCAGATGATGAACTGACCAATGTTCTGTGGGATATTTAAAGTTGGATACATTGTTTTATAATCCGAACCTGTTTTAAACTACTCCACAGCTTTTCTTTGACCTGTTGTGTTCCTTAGTCTAATACTGTGAGTTTACAGAGCAGCTGCCCTTCAAAGAACGGCTGAATTCATACCGAGATCAAATAGCACAAGGAGTAAAACTATTTATGTTTAGGTGGATTTTTGAAGGCATCTGGTTTTAATTTTTTTTTTAGGGCAAACAGAAAGCAAGCCACAATTGTCAAATCAGCCATACATTGAAATTTGTGGTCCACCTAATGTGGGAATGAAAACTTTTGTTTTGGAATGCACTGCCAGATCAGCATTGTCCAGGATGGCATATGGATGCTTCGAACACTTGCATATGATTGCACATGTGTTTTTGTATTGGAAACCTCCTATTTCCAGTGTCTTTCTCAGACTTGTAAAGAGGCAGCTGCCTCTTCAGCTCTGCCGCTCTCTCATTCTCATGGCAAGGCCTTTATGAGACTGAGTGGGTGCATGTGGAGATGGATGAATGAAACTTCACTCACACACAAAACACAACGCTCCACACATACACATGCTTTGGTAAATAACCCAGCAGGAAGTACATTAGTGTTTCTCTACAGATGAGTAAAATAGACAATGGACTATAGAGAGATGCTAATACATACTTTGGTCAAGAAGACACAGATTTCATCATGGAGCCGGTTAATCAGACATCTGTGTGTTCTTGCCCTGTAGAGATGGCTGCCGTCCAGTCAATTATACGCTAGATGACTGTAATCATGAGTGGCAGAGGCCAGTCCTTAAGCACTTCAAAAGTAAAATCGGCGACCAATTACACTAATGAAGCGAGAACTGTGACTCAAATCTCTCCATTCTGCAGCTGATTTGAGGGTAGCTGCATTCAACAGAGGCGCAATCCCAATATCAGCTGAAGATATGATACCCAGAGTTCATTTCTCTCCAGCTCCTCTTGTGCTACTTTGCAAACCTGAGCTGCGGCGCAGGCTGGCGTCACCTATTTAGAGGAAGTACCAAAATTAAATACAGCTTATCGAGTAGCCCCGTTTTTTTTTTCTGCTGCTATGTTAAACGCTTGGACTGAGAAAAACATCTGATCTAAGACTCAGATAAACAACTTCATGCTATTTCTGAAGAGTGCATGTGTGGAGGTCAACAACATTAAATTAGCTCTACGGTTACATAGGGCATGTGTTTGACAAGGCCCCTCCAGTGTCTTCATTCACTCTTTTCTTTCCCTCTTAGATATGTTGCTCACACACACACACAGATACACACAAAAAGAGAGGTGTGGTTAAACTCATGTACATTTAACTGTTACTGAACAAATTTCTGATGTCCTGTTGTGGTCTAACAGGCACGCTCCATTCTATTCCCCATGCTCACACACTCTTCCGTTGCGGTTTGGCCAAATGTGCATTCAACCCCAAAATCTCCAACTGAACCAAGGTGTCACACTCAAGCTTGTGACTTTCACAGTTGGTGATAGGTTCTGCTCAGACTGAGGCAGACATCGGTTAAGCGGTTGAAGGCCACTTTTTGTCAGTTACCAGTTACAAGGTTTTCTATTTGTCGAAATATACCTGATCAATATGCTCCACTTGTTACTGATTTAACCTAGTGATAGGTGGCTTGATATAGGTTGAGAGGTGAGAAATTTGGTGATGAAAGCGCTTATCGGAACATGGTGGACAATTAGTTTTACTAACAGCAGTGGTTAGGCTCTAGCAAGCTGGGCCTTCAACCGGATCTCTGCTCTCCGGGTCTCTTTCTCTTCTGTTCTGTCTCTTTCACCACCTCTTATTCTCACCCTGCAAGCTAAGGGAATGACAGATTGAAGATATGCTGCATAAATAAGCAAACATGCACAAGTGCACACACATTGCCTCCAATATTTCCATAGAAAAGACATGATGACTAAGCCTTTCAATGACATGCCCCATTTACACTAGACTAGAATTACCTAGGGAACTTAACTGATTTTGAATAAACCCCCACATCTGGGTTTCATGTACCATATTTGCACAAGAAGAGAAAATGGGTGTTTTGGTTAACATTGCAAGTCTATTCTCCAATGACTCGGTCTGCTGTATGATTGAAACATGAAGTGTTTTACAGCTACTCTTTCAAAGAAAGAAGACCTATGCAAAAAATGCCAGAAAAAGGTGGTATCTACATGCATGTTTGAAAGACACATATCCAAAACATGAACTCATAAGGCCAAGGTTTCTTAGGTTTGCCAATGCAATAAATATGCAGTGAGACAATTAACTAAGCAATTAGCTTAATAAAAAAGTATACATCTCAGAATCATCAAAGGGCTCTTTAGGGTGAAACAGTACTTGAAATACTTTCACTGTTCTATAGAAGTTTTCACATTCCCTTGAAAGTTTTCACATTTTTCAACCACAGGTTTTTAGGCGATAGATCAACACAGCTGCAACTCTTTAGGGATATTTCTTCACTAGATATATATGGCTAAATATGTATAACTGGAGACTAAAGTTTGAGTCCATTCTTCTTGATTTAATAGTTAACTGAAATTAGCTAGGGATCATCTATGGTCATACATTTTCTTCCTGGACTTACTTGATTTTATGTATTGACTTCAGCTGGGACATTTTAACACAACGTTTGCATCTAAACCACCTGAGCTGTGGATAATTCTAGCTTCACTTCAGCTACCATAGGAATCTTGTTGCTTTTCTTAATAATGTTCTCATTGTCATCTTATCAGTTGTGGAAACTCATGTCTTGGTTTTTCAAAACTAGGCATGACTCTGCTTTGAACATTTCAAAAACGTTCTTTTTGGACATTCTGCTATGTCCACCGATTCTAATGAAGCTGGGTTTTTTTCTAGTATTTTGGAGAAAATATGTACATGCTTAGATGAAGTTGCATAGCAAGTCATCTTTATGGTCAACTATTGGCCAAAGTTTCTGTAAAGGTAACCAAGTAAAGGAAACTGAATATTAAAGTATGTCATACTTTGACTTAAAACAATAATCCTTCCACTAACATTCTTGCCCTATTTTGTGTTAGGCTATATAATTAAATACCAGTGAAATTCTTTAAAGTTGTGATTATTCTTTGAAAATATTTGACGATGCATGAACACTTTAGCAAGGCACTGTAACTCTGATGAAGTTTGAGGAGCATCATTAAAATGGCTGACCAAGTTCATAGAACACTTCCATCTGTGTTCCCCTACTGTTTTTCATTTGCACACATGCTTCCACCATCAGTGGATATTTATCACCGGGTTCTCTCCCCTCCAAGCCCACCACACAGTCTTTCTAGCCCCTTCACCCCCACTCAAATGAGATTTAAGAGAGTACTGAATGGAATCTTTCAGCTTCCACATGACCCTCTCTCTCCACGTTGTGTTTTTCACGGCTGCTGAGCAACGCAGAGCCCTTCACAAAGTGCCTCTGTTCCCCCCCCAGCGAAGGCAACACAAAGGCTGCGTTTGAGACACGCACTGCTGAGCGCCGTCAATGGAACGCCCGCCGCAACAAACGGCACTGTTGTTATGCCTGCACGTGTTTGTTGTATGCGACAAGCGACTAGACAGAGAAACCAGGCGCTGACCCCTCGTGTCAGAGTCCCTGGAGGAGGTGGGTGTTAGACGGGGCTCCCCAGCTGTGCCCGACCAACGCCCCGATTCTCAATTTCTGCAATCCACACTGTATGCTGTAAAATTTAGCTATTAAAATCAGACTCCCTTTACTATAAAAGTGTAGTGCATGTCCTCGGGGGTACACTGGTGGACAAACAAAAGCTATCTCATATGATTTCTTTAACCTGCTTCTCCACTGGTATGCTAATGCTAAATACATTTGAATTTTTATAGAAAAAATAAAATGGCCTCATCAGAACATATAAAATATATCCAGACATTTAGAACGCAGCTTCTGCACACGGTGCAACTTTTCAACTTCTGTTTCTTCCCCACTTGTTTTACTGTTTTATAGCTGAAAGCAGGCAGGATGTGTCACAGTCGAGGCACTGAGCAAACATTCCCATATGAACTCCACGACCACTAACTTCAACACATCATGGACCAAATCTCCACTTAGGTTTGGGTTTGTGTTAGTCATGCATTTTATGGCCCCAAGTGGGTGAGTGGGTGACATAGATGTGTGTTTGTGTGTCTGCAAGCAGACATGTGTGAGAAGAGGAGGCCATTCTTACCAGCACTGGTGCCTGCGCCAGTGGTTAGGTCAGCACCCATGAGGCCACCTGTAAGATGAAATAACGAGCAAAGCAGAGGAGAGAAAACCATTAGAGGATAGACACCTACACAGCGCCCATTCCGCCTCCCTGTCTCTCCCACTTTAATCGCAACGTGTGTCGGTGCAACACGAAAAGCAAGGCCTTTTCCCACACAAAAGCTTAGCACATTGAACTACTGGACGACAGAGCGGATGCATGAAGGTGCTGTCCAAGAAAAATGACACATTATTATTTTTAAAACATGCGAGGTGGAAGAGTGGGAGGGTTTAGAACGATTTTTTGTTGTTGCTCTGGATGCAGTGAGTGCCAAAGCTCATATTTAGTTTGCGCTCTGCATTTCGGCATTCAGTCGTAATGACAGGGTTGAGGGTGTGGGCAACAGCCTTTCAGGGCTAGTGGGACAGAAAAAAAAAAAAAAAAAGACTTCGGACAACAATTACAGACCAACAGTCAAAATTGCTTATAGGTAGAACCGGAGTCTCACAATAAATGTCTGTGGGCTGGGATTTAATATTGTTTTACATAATTTTGCTGTTACCTTTGACAAAACAGTAGAGCAGGGAATATGTGATTATATGTGGGAGGAAAAAAACTCCAGCTTCATTCACCGCCTTTAGGTGGAACATTGTGGGTAGCTGTCATGAATTAAATTACACGTTTTGATGTGTCTGGGTCTATTAGCATGACAGACAGGTTCGCACGCGCGCTCCAAAAGACAGACAGATGGGATAACCGCATGGATGGGGAGGTTGCACAGGTACACATGGGGGCACTACTTGCATTACCTGCACTGGGGGGTCTGTGTGTCACGCCTGGAGACATGCTGTTTCTCTGTAGACCATGGTGCGCTAGTGGCAGCAGATTGTGGTTGCCTAGGGATCCGCCAGGATGGGTGTAGATTAAATTGTTCTGGTTGCTTGTAGGGATAGACACGGGCATGTCATAGTTTGATGGGGGCACAGCCTGCTGGGAAAGAGATGAGAAATATTAAACAAAAAACAAGGATTAGAGTGAAAATAATAAACTTTCAAGTGAGTAAAAGATAGATTAAGGCTTTTAGTAAAAAGTGGACCAAAAGAGATGAAATGATGATTCAAAATACTCAAGAATCCCAGAACAAAGACAGAACAATAATTGTAGGGAAGACAAAAACATCATCTAATTTCAAAATGGACGAATGGACAAAAATTATATTTACTGGACATAAACAGCACATATCAAAAACACAAACAACAGAGAAGTAGAGAAAGTGAAAAATAGGACAAGAAGAGACCAAAACACAAAAGGAGTTTCTTGTTAGTATCTCTTTTCTTGGAAACTCTTTAACATTCCTGTTTAATTCACAAAAGATATGTTTTCTATGGACTTTCTTCTTGGAAGGAAACAATGGTGTCTGTAACTTACAAAAACAAAGATGTTTCTCAAACATTTGTTAACATGTCTGTATTAGTCATGGGCCTAATACATGACAAAACCTGAATAGAAATATTTCTTCTATAGGACAAAAAACAAAGAATAAAAAATATTTTATATGAAATATAAAAGCAACATTATTCTAACTTCTGCTGTAATAGTATAATCAGTTAGTCATTACACTTGTAGTACTAAAATGTATGTAATGTTTTCCTTCAGGAGGCTACTAACTGGGGAGTGTTGGCCCAGTGGTTGTGCTCTGAGAATGTTGCAAGTATCCAGTTCAATCCCCACAGCCTCCACTCTGGGTTCCTGAGCTAAACCCTTAACCCTGAATGCTCCCTGTAGGGCCACACAATGGCAGCCCACTGCCCCCCAAGGGGGATGGGTTAAATGCAGAGAATGAATTTCCCCATTGTGGGACAATAAAGGGATTTACATTTAAACAGACATACAGCCTGTAGTTTGCAAACTGTAGTTTTATTACATTGCTATCTTAATAAGAGTGATGAATAGCACTCCTTTAGTTCTCACATCGTGACAGTCAGTATAATTTTGACCTGAAATATTTCCCTATAACTTGATTTATCTTTCTTGAGAGGCATAGAAAGTGCATTAAGCCCTCTATGCCAGCGGACAAGCAGTAAGGAGCAGCATGTGGGGGAGGGGTGGTACTTCACTACCCTGGGGAATCTCATCCGGCATCAAATTAAAACAACTTTAATCCAAAGGAATGGCAAGTCTTATTTTTCTTTTTTAGTTCTGTAACATATCTGAATATTTCTGGGCTGTTGCATAAAAGACAAAAATAAAGTCTGTGGTTCATTTGGAAAAAGATTTGGCCTCCTGTTGTTTTGAAACGGTCTAAATGAAATACAAATACACTTGTTTTTACCCTTTGAAAGTATTTCCTGCATAAGTTCCTTCAACATTAAGTATTTTTTACTCTGAAATTAGTTGTTTCAATCAACTGAGGCAGATCAGTCAGCAGATTAATCAGGAACACGAGTCGAACTAGCCCGACAGCCCTGAGGCATCCAGTTTGTCATATTTATTGTGTCATTTGGCAGAGGGGCTTAACCTTGGGAGTGCCCTGGAAGTGGTTGATCCTGTATGTTAGCTTAAGGAAGTAGAAAATAGGGTTCTAAATTACTGCCATGTGTCTTCAAGCTGTAGAAGCAGCATACTGGATGAGAGGATTAGCCTGCTGTACATGGAAACAAACGAGGTGCCTTTGTGCCTCCTATTATAAGATTTTTTCTACCTAAAACATTGCTATGGAGCATATTATTTGAACACACAAAAATAATTGCTCTAACCATTATTCGTTGTGATTCTTTTTATGCTTCACTGTAACTTCTAAAGAAGCCTCCCTCCACCCAGTCTGATGTTTCTTCCATTATAAATTCTTCGCTGGATGTTTCACATCTCCTGATTACCTTGCAATGCCCTCTTTTAGTGGAAGATGTTGACACTCCCTATTACTGGGAGCAAAGGGCCCCGTTTGTGAGCTGTCTTCTAGCTGGTGCCATCCTTCCTGTTTTCACTCATCTTCCTCCCTTGCCTTTCCCCACAGTTCCCCCACCCCCTCGCCTACAGTCCCCTGCAATCCAGAGGCCCAGTGCTTGGCAGCCGCCCTGACCACACGCTGAACTGCCACTTGTTGTGTACAGAGTCCACCCCTCGACTCACCAACCCCAGCCTTACTTCTAACCACATCGCCTCCTGCTCTACGTGAGCTAGATACTACTGTTCTCCTCTTACTAATATACTGTGAAATTATGACTCTCTATGTAAGCGCCAAAGAGCTAACCGTTCCAATATGCTGTGTTCCGAATGAGGAGCAGGGTCAGTTTAAATGGAAAAGAAGTCCATACTTTGTGGTTTGTCTCAGCTTATTTTGTAAAATTAACATCATAAATCTTGTAGACACTGCCTTGACATATGTCCACAAAGAGGTCTTCAATAATTTCAGCATTATGAGAAGCATCTGCTATAGTATCACTGCCATGGCGCCTGCACAAACCCCCAGGAAGCAGGCAGCATGAGGATAAAACACCCCCCACCCCCAAGGAGACAGGCAACAGAGGCATAAGCAGAATTAATTCAAGGTGGAAAAGTGAAAGTATTTTTCTTTTTTTCAAGAGAAAGTCTACAATTACAGAAAACGCCTGAGAGCTGTGGTTACACTACTGTCAGATTAGAGAGTTGTTACTCAAATGTAAGCAAGCAAGTTTGAATAACTGCAATTTTGTCACTGTAAATAAACACAGTAATCGCAATGTGAGCTTACTCTCACTCTTTTTGTGCAATTAGTCCAGTTAAAATCAACTGTGGTTAGCCGGGTTAGCTCAACAGTTGCCACTGAGAAGCTGCTGAAAAAACGGGTATGTTCCCTAAGTACTTACAGGGATCTTATGAGTTTTTATCATGTGATCAAACTCCTCATTAATCTGTTTGTATTTCTCCTCAGTGCTGGGGGTGAGGATCAGAGTGGACTCGAGCTCCGGGCTCTCCCCACCCTTGTTCTCCTTCTTGTTCAATGCCTGGCCAGGTCCCACGACCAGAGAAAATGGAGTTGGGGCAAACATGAAGACATGAAGGTACGGATATATGACGAGGACACAGAGACGAAGTAACAGAAGGAAGCATGGAGGGAAAAATAAAGAGGGAGGGGGAAAAAGAGGAAAAGAAAGGTGAGAGGAAAGCTCTGGGTTTAATGACAAGTACTTACACACAGTCTCTGTCTGCTGATCATCAAATCAATGTCCTCGTTTATTTTCCTGTACTTGTCCTCGGACTCAGGGCTGTGGCCCACCGAGTCGTCTGCGTCTGGGTCTGGGCTGTCACAGCCGTTTAGGCCCTTCTTTCTCAACGTCTGAAAACAGAGCAGTTGCACAACATAGTTGAAGGGTTTTTTGGGTAGGTAACCAAGAGTCCCAATTAAAACCTGCAGTTTTATTTCTTTTTCAGAAAAAATAAAAATAATCATATTCTTATAAACTGTTCCATGCCAGGTGCATTTTCAATCAGCCACTGTTGAATATTAGACTCTAGGATGTTTTATGCACAACTTAATATTCAACATTTATAATGACACAGATGTTTAAAAAAACTAAAATATGATATCACAAATGATTTCAGGAAAACTAAAACAATCAAAAAAAAAAAAAAAAACTAACTGAAGAATATACATAAAGACCAGGTGTGAGGTTATGATATTCACACATTTCACGATATAAATGCTCTGTTTCTTGAAAAATTTAAGCAGTAGACCAACACAAAGATGTAAATAATTATGATGTGAAAAAATCTTAAAAAAAAAATGAAACGTAAGTTTGTGATGTAAAGTTTGAGCTGAAATGGTTGCTGCCACAACTGCTACAACTGCTGCAACTATTTCATGATATGTCTATTCTAGCTTTGCATATCTATACAGTAACATTTTTGTACTTTCTTCACAGATAGCTCAGGCTCACTCAGACCTTTGATTATTTTTCCATTTTCCAACCCACTGTTATCAGCCTCCATGTCCCCACAGCGTGTCACCATGCGGCTGTTGTGTTCAACTGCCTGAATTCCCAGGACATTACTTGCAGTGATAGCCTTATTTTTCTCTATTTAACATGGCAGTGCACAATGATGGTGATTGCACACTCTGAGCTTCACACACAGTTGGCCTCAGTTTACTAATTAGTTGGCAAGGCAACTAGTTGTTCTAGATTTCACTTTAAAGTATCAGAGTAATGTTTATACAAATGCTTTGTTGGTCCATTACATAAATAAAGATTTTTTTGTTATTTGAAAAAGTGTGAAAGTTTAAAACCACCAGGCATAATCTGGTATTTAGAAAGGCAGTTTCTTGTTTTGGCCACCTGATGGCCACCTGTCCCCATTAGAGTGGGCAGCAAAACAGCAGAAAACCACTCATTGGCTCACCACTCCCTCTCACTGGAGGGGAGACTAAGACAAAGAAGGCTTTAAGGGGGGGGGGCACATGAGTCCTTTTCTTCTTTTCTTTTCAATTAAATTGTTGACATCCGTAACAATGAGGATGAGTTTCACAGTACATTTCTTTGCGTGATAGCATGAGCATACGTCTGCCTTGCAACGATAGGTGCTATGTTCATTTGCCTTCTAAAGTGGGGAGACAAAGACAGAGTGGGAGAGCAGAAAAGTACAGTACCTGACAGTTACAGATCTCATCAAAGACACCCCCTCCTCCTACTGTTCTCCATCCACACCCCCACCCCTTCCCTCTCTCCTCCTGGCTTTAATAAAGGGAGATTAGTCTACAGGAGGAATATCACGGGCCTGCTCCTGTCTGTGCAGTCATCTCTTCACACTGCGCTCTCCTACTTTCATCTGAAGCTCCATATCAGACAGACGTAATTAAATTTACTTTAGCACACCCTGTATTTGATGCTGATCAAGTGTATGTGTGTGTATGTGTTTGTGTGTATGCGTGTGGGAGGGGAAAGAATGGGAATAAGTCTGTGTTTGCATGTGCACATGTGGGTGTGTGAGAGTGGGTGTTTGAGTCAAGCAGAAAAAAAAAAAAGAAAAAGACAGAAAAAGAAACCAAGCATGTGAAAGGAAGGGAGATGGATGCTACGATAAGTTAATCTCTGTGAACTTCTCCCTCTCATTTGTTTGTCTCCGCCAGTTCTCACTCACAGAAGCGATACAAGTGCGAGCAACTCCATCACAAGCAGCTGCAGAAATGACAGGAGCGATCTGCCTGCTTAGAAAACAAATAACAATCCAGTTATCTCTTATGTCAGCACAACAAAGGCCTGTTTAGAGTTTGGTTTTAGTGAACTTAGAGGGCTGTTTTTGTGTGTGTGTGAGATAACTGTTTGATTCTCAAAGAGTCTTGTGGCTGAGGCATCTACTGTAAGTGTGTCAACATTTGCTGGCTTTCCATTTTTTTCTCCAATACCTCCCTTGGCCCCTAGAGTGGAAATCTGGAATTCTGAATTTAAAAGCATGTCTCATATCTTCTGACAGTCTTAAGGAAATTATACCAAACAAATCAACTAAGTTGATGCAGGAGACCTGCAGTGAATCAGGCAGGCTTGCTCTATTATAGCAGGCTATGCAGAAAGGGGTGACAGAGGTTCAGCATGCTGCGTTTTTGTTTTTAGCAAAAGGCGTCAGATGTAAAAAAGTTTTCGATTTCTTCTGCCAAGCTTCATCCGTGATCTTGGCGATGCATCACACCATGCTGACAAGAGCTGAACATTGGCCTTTCTTCAGTTCACATGAGAACGCATACAAGTACCAACAACATTTCATCCCACTACCGCAGATTTCCACCTACTGCCACCAGCGTGAAGAGGACTATGGATTCAATTCCTTTCTTGGAAAAACAGCAGTGCAGTGATGGAGGAGGAAAAGAGCAAAGGCTGGGCCAAAGGTGTCATCTCATATGGGGAAACTAAGCTGGTCATCCTGCAGCGCACTGGGCAATGGCTGCATCGGGCGTCAGTTGGGGTGCAGACAGCCAGCACAGGAGTGTTATATGACTATGAAGTATGTGGCTCAGGCATAGCTCTCTAGAGGGACTCAACATATTTAGAGTAGGGTTCAAGGATGCTATGTCATCTATCCCAATTATGCCCACCTGTTCAGTTACTGGCCACGCCTGTTGCCACAGAAATAAAGCCTATCACCCAATAGGATCATTTGTACCCATAAATGGACATTTCAATCTTATGCCCTAAGTCTATTATCCTATGCTTTTTAAACTGTTTTCTAAAACTTATTCTTATTATTTGAAAGAGATCCCAAACTCTTTCCAAATGTTTATCGAGATAGTTTTTTTAAATTGACAAGGTAACACAATTTGAAGAAAAATAAGTTCGTATTAGGGGAAAGGGGGATAACCTATCACTAAAAGGGAGAGCTTAGGAAACCCAGGGTTAGGGTTATGCAGACGTTTTATACTAAAACTTTTGGGTTAAACTTTTATCTAAGACAGAAATGCAGAATAAAAAATGCTAATAAAACATTGATAATGTTTTATTAGTATTTTATTATCAAAAATGTAAAATGCACAAATGAATCAGACCATTATCTTTGATTGGTGAACGGCTGGTCAAATATAGTCAAATCTGATTTTGTTTTTCTGTCTATGAAAACCAGAAGCTTACAATGAGCAGCAAGCACTTCGGTGGACTATCCAGTGAACCAAGGAGTGAAAGTGAGCCATTGATGGGCAAGATGTTAAATACCTGGCCCCCTTGCCTTCTGGTCATACTGTGAAAGATGAATTTTGTTAAAGCAAGAAGAAAAAAAGAAAATCTAAGTTGGCATATATATTTCTGATGTCACAATTGAATTTTTTTTTTATTTTTATTTTTTTTTAAATAAGGTGAGTGATAGAAATTGTGTTTGTATCTATTTTTCATTTTTATCAACCTGGTTAGTGTTAGTTTCTGGCACTGCCACTCCCAATGTTGAAACTGTGTGAAGAAGTGCTGATGAATTTTCATAGTGTGAAAGTGAACCAAATCATAGAAAAAGTTTAAACTTTTTGGCAAGTCCCCTGGACTTATCTTAAATTAATAACTGCTTCCTACTTTACACTCCAAGAGAATTATTTATAAACAGTCAAATGTATCTTCCTTTTGAGAGATGGCAAAGTGTTTTAGCCTTTTATTAGCCAGTCAGAGGTGACATCAATAGATATGAGAGAGGCAGCACTGCATTTCCTGAGCTCTGGAGAGCCTGAGAAAACTGGTTACTGTGGCCATTTAAGGCACTAACCAAACAAACCATATGTGATATTTTTACTTCTAGAAACTGTAACTTTTTAAACAACTTGTGTACATTGACACTGTCGAGCTGTCTATGCCTATTGTTTATACAGTACTGGGATAATAGAATCAGAAAAGAACTAAATATAGGGAAACTAAATATTGCAAACTCATTTAAAATGTGTTTCTTTATAATAGATCTAAAATATTAACAAACAGTGTTAATGCTTTTTAAAATCTTAGAGCTGTTTCATGAAAACAAGTTCTGAAACTGTAGAGTTGAATGTGATTTTAGAAATTGTCTATATGTATTAAAGTTGGCAACCAGCCCATGCTGCATCTAGTGATTTGGAAAAAGGCCAAAATCTAGGGTTAATATAATAAACTTTGCTAGGATTCATTTCTGCCAGCAACCTGAATCATCAAAAAGAATCATACAATTCTTCATGTAATACTACTAATCTAAAATATTTCTAGACATAATCTATTCTTTTTCACCCCCCTCTTTACACACCTTATCTGACATCTTCTTAAAAGCAGAGAGACAAGACCAAATTTGACAAAAGTGTGAAATGAGGAATAGGTGACTAAGAAGTGAGTAGGAGAGAATGATAACTTCAGAAGAAAAAAACAGAAAAACCACAGGATGCTTCTAAGAATACACTGAACACTCAGTTTGCTGTGTGCTTCTTAGCCATTACTCCATAATATGGAAAAAGTCCAGCAATGTGCAACTTACAGAGGACCGGAAATTAGGATGATATGGTTAAAAAAAAATGGAAAAAGCAGTTTCTTCTCGCTTCGCTCAGTGTCTTCCTCTGTGGCCCCTTTGGGGGCTTGCTCCTAATTAAACTCCTTCTTCATGACACTCCCTTATGACTCCGCTCACACGGCCTGTGAGAAGCAGGCACAGCATAGACAAGGTGTCCTACATATTTGAGACGCAGTGTCTCTGTGGTATCCTTTAGCTTCAGTAAGAGGAACCACTGGACAGCTTTGAGAAAACTGAGTGAGGTGACTGAATCTATTAAGAATCAGAGGCATGTTTGTTTCTGAGGCACATAAAGACAATTATAAAGTTGGTCTTCTATCACCTGAAGAACATACACAGGTCTAA